AGTCCACGGCGTACACGGGCAAGGCGCTCAAGCTCGGCGCCGGTGTCCAGGCCGGCGAGGCCCAGTCCGCCGCGCACGCCCAGGGACTCGTCGTCGTGGGCGGTAACAGCCCCACGGTAGGCATCGCGGGAGGCTACACGCAGGGCGGCGGCCACGGGCCCCTCGTTTCCAAGTACGGACTCGCCGCCGACCAGGTGCTCGAGTGGGAGGTCGTCACCTCGGGCGGCAAGACGCTCGTCGCGACCCCGACCTCCAACTCGGACCTGTACTGGGCGCTCTCCGGCGGTGGTGGCGGCGTGTACGCTGCCGTCTTGTCCATGACCGTCAAGGCCTACGCCGACACCATTGTCTCGTCGGCGAACCTGACCTTCACCAACTCTGGCGTCACGGACGATGTGTTTTACGGTGCGGTGACGACCTACCTCAAGACCCTCCCCGATATTGTCGACGCCGGTGCCGTCAGCATCTGGCTCCTCGCTTCGGGCGTGTTCCAGATGCAGCCTACTACCCTGCCCAACAAGACCAAGGAAGAGCTCCAGGTTCTGCTGCAGCCTACTCTCGACGCTCTCGATACCGCCGGCATCACCTATGGTAAGTTAGAGTCCTGAACCAGAATAAAGAGAAAGACAGAGCGATAGTAACACTTGCCGCAGACTTCAACATTGGCCAGTACACCAACTTCCTGGACAGCTACAACGACATGAACCCTGAGCCCGCGGTGACCGAGTTCAACATTGGCGGCCGTCTCATGCCCCGCACCCTCGTCGCCGACGACGCTTCTGCGGCCAGCCTCATGACCGCGCTCAGGAGCATTCTGGACAACGGCGGCATCATCTCAGGCCTCACCATCAACGTTGCCCGCGCCGCCAACGCCGTTGCCAACTCGGTAAACCCGGCCTGGCGCACCGCCCTCTTCTCCGCCGTCGTGGGAACGTGAGTTCAAGCCCCCCTTTTGCTCTCTCTCTAACTTGAGAAAAAAGCCCATTACTAACACATCTCGTGATAAAGTGCCTACAGCCGCTCCGACTTCTCCACCCTCGTCTCGGGCCAGAACACGGTCACGGACACGCTCATCCCGGCTCTTAAGGCGCTGACGCCCGGCGGCGGCGCGTACCTCAACGAGGCGGACCGCAACGAGGTCGACTTCCAGTCCACGTTCTACGGCAGCGCAAACTACGCCAAGCTCAAGGCGATCAAGAAGCTCTACGACCCTTGCAGCACGTTTTACGCCCTGACGGGTGTCGGCAGCGACGATTGGGAGGTGCAGGGCGACGGACGTCTCTGCAAGGCTGCGTGAGTTGTGAGCAGATGAGGGATGAAGAAGATGAGCAGAAAGAAAAGGAGGCACTCACTTTTACTTTTTTGAATTATCGCGTTTTCGAAATTTTAATACCAATATGAATTCGTTTAGTGCCTCACAAAATGAGATAGATGTCTAGTTGAAGTGAGATAAAGTGAAGTAAAGTTAGGTAGAGTGAGACGTTTCAACCACGCTGATCATCCTCAAGCAACTGGTCAACCAATCACGTGTGTCAAGTAAGACGGATTGAGCAATACATTTTGCAAAGCAAGAAACCAATCAAATCCTTTCTAACCCCCAGCGCGGTTTGACCAACAATATCTCGCTTCTGACACCTGACTGGGGTCACATCGAGTTGATTGGGTTGATTGACCATGACTTGCCTGATCTAAGGTCGTAATGGCGAGGTGGTAAGAGGGCTCATATATTACACCCTTTGAATTAGTATATAAGGTAACTGAAACCGTGATTTCTTGAACAGAGCAAGGCTTTGAGTTGCAATCTATCCTTTTTTTTTCTCATCACATGAAATCGGTCCACTTGAGGCAAGGCAAAGTCATCAGTTTGAGGATGAGCGACCATCTAGCAAACCAAACTAGTACCTTGCCTTCATCAAATGTCTGCCCCTTGTCCGGCTCTGCCTGCTGCCTTGCGAGTATTACTCATGAATATTTCCTACGCTCAAGACACGACCGCCGACCAAAAGGTGATTAGAGACGAGTTCAGAATGCCTGGTATTCCTAACATGGATTGCAAACACCTTCGACATTCCGATGGGCCATTACCACACGAGAACGCAGGCCATTTCGAGGTCCCCTGCGCGAGCACCTGGCACTGCGAAGCAGCTTGTGGAAAGGCTACTTCCGGTGACCATTGTGCTCGCTTTTATAACATATTCGACCCATGGCAGATCTTGTCTCTTAGCCATCTGGGAAAGTGCCTACTGGATCACAATGAATTCAGATCATAGGGAGTAAGGTAATAAAGGCTCTCCAAAATGGCCAACGAAGTTGCTCACTTGTGTAAGAAGTATACTAGCTGTCGCCTTCAATTCCTGCTCTGTCACAAATTACCAGCCGGAATCTGGACAATTCCTTCGCATCCGTATTCGGTTTCCTCACAGACACTCGGCTTGCTCGGCTCTTTTCTTGACGCGGCAAACACCACAAAACCAATGAGAACCCGACCGTGGGATTGGCCCTTTGGGACCTGCATACTGGGATCTGACGGGGCTTGTAATTCGCTGACAGTCTACTTGTAGATCTCTCAAGTCTTGGGGTGCGCTAATCAGTGTGGCACCATCTGGAAGTCGTCGTCCCGGCGCATGTCCATGGGGTTTTGTAGTGTCGTTGACGTATTCAATATGAGCTGCGCCCCCTTTCTCGGACGTTGATGGTGAACAGCCTACGTTACCTAACAAATTGAGACGAGAGTCCGGCCCCCCGGAGGACCAGAAGCTCCCGGGGACCCGCTGAGACGGCGGGCGGCCGTTGCCCTGTGGCACACACCACAAATTTCCCAAATAGGCAGTGACCTCTCTAAGGTAAGGTACCTACTAGGTAACTAAGCTTCCCGTCCCGCCGGCGCCGCGCCCACCCACCCCCCCCCCCTTTGACCTTTGACTTTCCGTCTGAAATTTGTACAAGTCGAGACTCACCGCCAAACATCCCACCACCACCACCACAACCACCGATTCCCCCCTCAACGCTCGCTTCTTCTCCCTCCCCTCTCTCTTCCTCGTCATTCATTCACCCCGCGCGCGGCTGTCTAACACGGGGATCTCCTTTATTTACTCCATCTACTCGTATTTTGTAATCAATTGAGAAACGACTTCCACAGCAAACAACATGATCGCAGCGCCCTGGGACAAGGTCCCTCCCCGCGAACAGCTCTTCGTGCTGGTCACCGGCGCAAACAGGTGAATCACTCTAGCCTACCCCTCCCTCCCCGATCTTTGCTTCTTATGTCTATCTACTTCGACTCTCGTCGGACAGAGAACACAATAAGCTGACAGGCAATCTCAAAACCAGCGGGGTCGGCCTCGGCATCTGCGAACGCCTCATCGACGACTTCCTCGCGACCCGGCCCCTAACCTCCCACCTGATCCTCATCCCGACCACCCGCTCCGTCCGCAAATCCCGCGAATCCGTCGAGTCCCTCCGCCAACACCTCCGCCGCACGGCAACCACCTCCCCGGCCCTCCGCTCCCGCGCCGGCTCCTCCTACTACGACCCCGACGACACCCTCGCCCGCGTCCACCTGCTCTCCACTCAGCTCGACCTCTGCGACCTCCCCTCCGTCTACGCCTGCGCCGCCAACCTCGTCGCCGGCACCCTCACCGACCCGACCGACCCCGTATCGCCCCCGCGCGCCTACAAGATCCCCCGCCTCGACTCCGTCATCTTCAACGCCGGCTTCGGCGGCTGGACCGGCCTCGACTGGACCGGCCTCTTCACCGACGTCTTCACAAAGGGTCTCCTCGCCGTCCTCACCTGGCCCTCCTTCAAGCTCGCACGCCCCGGCGCCGTCCTGAACCAGCGACCCGTCCGCTCCGACCTGGTACCCACAGACTCCCCCGATAACCCCCTCTCCCTAGCCTCCGCTTACGATACCAAGCCCTCCTCCCCCGTCCTCGGTGAAGTCTTTTGCGCAAACGTCTTTGGCCACTACGTCTTTGCCCATGAGCTGTTACCTCTCTTAAGCAGGGCCACACCCGAAGAGACGCCCGGCCGCGTCGTCTGGACGAGCAGCATCGAGCCTCAGGCGCGCCACCTCCGCCTCGACGACTTCCAGGGCGTCGAGACGGAAGGGCCGTACGAGTCCTCCAAGCGCCTGACGGACGTGCTCTCTCTATCATCCCACCTGCCCGCCACGCAGCGCATAGCCAAATCCTACTTCACACCCGAAGACCCCCAAATCGCACAGCGCCTACCAGTTCGTCCTTCCTTTTATCTCACTCACCCGGGCGTAGTCGCCTCCAACCTCTTCCCCGTGCCCTTTCCCTTTATCCTCTTTTGGGCTTACAAGTTTGCGCTCTACCTCGCCCGCTGGCTGGGCTCGCCCTGGCACCCTGTAACGGGGTACAACGGCGCCGTGGCGCCCGTCTGGATCGCGCTGCAGGACGACGAGACGCTCGAGGAGCTGGAAGCCAAAAAAATAAAGTGGGGGTCCGCCGCGTCGTTTTCGGGACGGCAGGACGTGAAGAAGACGGAGGTGGAGGGGTGGGGGTGGGAGGGCGCCGTCGAGGACCGGGAGTCGCTCGCCAGAGATCCCGCAACGGGTGTGCTGAGGAAGGCGGTCGGGCGAAATCCCGGCGCGAGGGACTTGACCAAGGAGCAGCTGGTCGACTTTGAGGCGTTGGGGGTGGATATCTGGACCGAGATGGAGAGGTTGAGGCACCAGTGGGAGGAGTTTCTCGATATTCGCGGGGAGGGCGTCAACGGTCACAGTCGCACCAACGGCAAGTCTGGATGACTTTGGCGAGGAAATCTTGTCTCTGAGCAACGAGATGTGAAATGGAAAAAAAAAAGACGTAAGACGGTTTGTTTTGCGGGAAAAAAAAAACATATATGGGGGGTATCCAAAATTAACTATATAGCATAACAAAAGACTAATGCCTAATTTACCAACACAACAACTACAACAGTTCACTCTACCGTTACGTATGGCAATCCATACCGCGCGGCCAGAGAGCTCTCATCTACGGATTCGTCGTCTGCCGCGTGCTCTGCTCGTCCGACCGCACACGCCGGAGGCTGACCCTATCACTCCGCCCAAACAAGCCCAGACACAATGGTAACGGCACGATGACGAGTGCGACGACGGCCTGGAAGACGAGCGCATTCTTCATATTCTTGGGCGGGTTCGCCTTGTCGTCCGCCTGCAGCGCATCGGAAATAATGATAAAGATTGCGCCGAGGAGCTGACCGCCCGCCCAGGCGATTGTGCTCGTGACCTCTGGGCTGACGGGGTGACTGAGCTCAATAAGGAGCTCGAGGGCGACGGGAACCAAGGAGAAGGATGCGGCGCCGAGGACGGCGAGGACGACGTACGGACCGGCGATGTTGCGCGTCTCGGGCATCCAGATGAAGACTAGGTAGCACAGTCCGATGACGGGGACGGCGACTTTAATGGCGGGGATGAATTTCTTGGTGCGGTCTAGGATCGGGGACGTGATTGCCGAAGCGACGAGGCCTACTACGATCAAGAGGGCGCCCGCGATGCCTGCTTCTTCGTCTGTGAAGCCGTAGGGCCCCATCATCTGGTTTAAGAGGGAGGAGATTGAGTTGAAGAAGCCGACGTAGAAGGCGTAGGGGAGGAGGATGAGCCAGAGCTCGAGGGAGCGGGAGACGATGGACAGAGAATCGCGGATGCCGAGCTTGAGGGTGCGGGAGGAGGGGGCGACGGGGGTGGGCGGCGCCGCGGGGATGAAGAAGGCCGGGAGGGAGGCGACGGTAGAGATGATGGCGACGTAGAGGACGCCGGGGGACATGTCCTGCGGGTTGGCGACCCAGAAGGGCACGATGAGCTGGCCGAGGGCGGCGCCGAGCGGGTTGGCGAGGGAGGTGAGGGCGGTGGCGGCGACGCGGCCGCGGTTGGTGAACCAGAGGTCCGAGTAACGGGTGGGCGCGGCGAGAACAAAGGGCTGGGCGAGACCCGTGAGGATCTGGCCGAACATGACGACGCCGTAGTTTCCGCCCGTCGGGGAGCGGGAGTGGGAGCCGGCGAAGCGGATCCAGTTGCCGACGAGGATCAAGGCGGCGGCGGTGATGAAGGAGGGTTTGGGGCCCATGTGGAGGATGCGGATGGTCAGGGGAAAGATTGCGACAAAGGCGAAGAGGAAGGCTGTGGAGAGCCAGTTGATTGCGGATTCGGAGACGCGGTAGTAGGTTGCTGCGTTGGAGGCTACGGGGGCGAAGGTGAGCCACTGTGGGTGGTTTGGTGTCAGTTATTTTGGTCTCATTGAGATGTTTAGGTTATGGTGTGTTTGTGGTGGTTTGGTGCAGGGTAGGTAGCAGGAAGTGATTATTCGCCAGCCTTGTTGATCATGAGCTGTACTGTACGATCGATGGTGGCTTGTTTGATGCAGGTACCCGTATACACTCTTTGCGATTCGTTCACAAACTCGCGCCCATGATTCGACCAAAAACTCAAGAAGAAGATATTTTCGACTTACATCCCACGAGACAATGATGTTAAGCAACGTCAACTGAGCGAGCCCGAACCAGCGGCGCTTATACGTGCGATACTCGACGGCCGTTCCCTCGAGGACGCTATTATTGTCGCCATCGATGCCACCATTAGCGACACCACCCACCCCCGTGATGTCGTTGTCGCGCGACCGGGAGTCCACATCGCGGAGGTGGTACTCCTCATCGCCGAGCTTGCCAAAGCCGGAGCCGGGGTGGGCGTGGTTCGGCATTGCCGTCGGGGCGGCGGCGGTGTTGACGGAGGGTTCAAGAGCGGCGACAATAGCGGAATCAGGGTTCGCGGCCGTCTTTTCGTTCTCGTTTACGCCAGTGTGGGCTGGGGTGGTAGTGGTAGTTGTAGTGGTAGTGGTCGTGATGTTGTTCGTGGTGTCGTTGGTGGGAGGAGTGGAGTTGTCGACCGAGGGGTCGTTCTCGCTCTTCTGACGGCGGGAGAAGTGCATTTTGTGTGTGTGTGTGTGTCGGGGGTCCCAGTGTCTTTAGTGGGCGCGAGCGCCAACGGGCCAGAACTTTTGCGCGCTAGGGAGCCCGATCTTTAGGGGGTGTCGGGTCCTTGGATTGTCGCAAGTTTCTTCTGAGACAGCGGGTGAGTGGGCGGAGCCACGGAGCCTGGGTTCGCCCCAGGGCAGGTTGTGGACAGTGGATTAGCGGGCAGGAGGCGGGCGGGAGATTGGCCTAGGCGTGTCTTGGCAGGGAGTCCTTGACTTTCGAGTCGTTCCACCTTTTTGTCCTGCGGGTTTGTTATCCGTACTGTAAATGTAAAAGGCCCGTGATTGTTCGTCGTCTCGAGTTCCTCCTATTTCCTCCAAAGGCTCTCCAACACTGCGCAAAGATGAGACGGAGGGCAATGCGCTGGGTTTGGGGGGGGGGGGAGGGTAGAGGGGAAGAGCGAAAAGGGAAGATAAGCCCACACCACCAAAAGATCACGAGAAGCCAAGAGGAAGGGAAAGATGGGAGGAAATGGAACAGGGCCGGGGGGAAGGAGAATTATGTATACGCTGAAGAAGAGAGAAAGCGGGAGACTCGACTTAAAAAGGAACCTGCCTACCTACCTTACCTACCCTGAAGGGAATATTGGCAAAATCGACAAGACGCGGGACGCGGGACGTGGGAACAGGAACAAGAACAGGAACAGGAACAGGGGGGGCCAGATGCAGTGCTACTGATGCGGCAGATACCCAGAGAAGGTAAGGTAAGGTAATTCGATCAATCAATCCCATCTCAAAAACTACTGAAGATCCCCTCGCAGTCCAACGGCCCAACTTCCCCGGTCTGGACTGGTGTGTGTACCCTGTGCTTTTTTGTTGTGTGCCGTGGGTCGTTCATGTTGGTCCAGACGATTCTTCACTTTCCTGATCCCTCTCAAGTTGCATTACATTGAGAGAGGGGGGAGGACATGGCGCGCCCAAACTCTCTCCACCTCGCGTGTGCTTTTCTCTCACAAGGTTAGAATCGTACTAGGCAAGCAACACCTTGATGCACCATTGACTGTTCCATTATTCCATGGGCAATAAGTTCAATGTCGCGAGCTGGATGAATGACAGAAAGAAAGAGAGGGGGGGGGGGGGGGAGAAGCTAAACTAAGCTCACGTTCAAATGAACCACTGTACCCAGAAAGCTTGACTGCAGCCCATCGTAGCATTTCGAAAGATGGCTCACATGCCCATCCCAGCCGAGGAACAAGAGAGAGAGATATGCATGTAGTAATGATGCACCTAATACCCTATCATCTGAGATATCCCAGAATGCAACCAACAGAATCGGGTGCCCTCTCTCTCTTCCTCTCGCAAAGTTCCTCTATCCGTACTGGTACGGCGCAGCAACCGACGGGCGAACACCCTTCCCCCGTCCCCTCGGCCCTCCCCCCATTGGCCCGCCGCCCCGGCCGATTGCCTCTCTTTGGGCCACCTCCTCCGGGTCCCATCCTCCGCCGCTCCACACAGCAACATGGAGAAGGGGCCCTATCCCGAATCAAAAAGTCTGAGCAAAAGTGTCTCTAGAACCGAAAAAAAGGATGTCCATTGTCTGTTGAAGATGTCCTTACCTGGGCAATGCAAAACACTTTCTCGAATTACTGTGTTGTATATCAATAAGGAGCTAGGTAATAGCGTCGGCAACCAATGGTCTCACCGTAGCTTGAGTCGTTTAAATCTCCTCGATTGGACCATTGATATATCCCATTTCGAGCACATCCGTCTCGCTGCTTCGCCGCACACGAGCAGATTTACTGCGTACCCGGGGGTTCCCATGCCCGCCCTCCGTCGTCGCGCCATAAACTCGCCTCGCCCTCGCCCTCGCCTAGTAAGGTATGCTACTCTATCCGAGATGAGCTGATCAGCTTTACCTTCTTCCGTAAAGTTTGTCATAAACACGCGGCAAAATATACTCAATACGTATTCCGACAACCTCCTTCTCTCTATTTCTGAGCTGCAGTCCGACTTCTACGTGAACAAAGAGACCTCTGTACGCGGTCTCGCAGAACTGTTACCATGGCTACCTGCTGCTTGACGGCCTCCAGAATGCCATCTCACTCTTGGTTCCAAAGCCCATCTACCCTCTTGTCAAGATCAAGATAAACTCATTGCTGTTCAGCCATGTTTCAAAACTCATCATGATTCATGCTTGAAGATCCGCGTGCAAGTAAAAGTCATGGAGGAATCTATTGCGCGATATGCCTATGGTACAAAAGACAAGAGCTTTCAGCGCCGCAAGCCAGACAGCGCTCACTAGATACTGAGCGACCCGGCTTGACGAGCACCATTGGGGGGGGGGGGGAGGGATGGAGATACAAGGGGTAGGTTGGAGGTCCCAAAAGAGAACTCCGGGACCGGTTTGCTAGACAGTTTCGTTCTCGTCTTCATCTCGTCTCGGCACCGACACTTCTCTCTCTCTCCCTTGCGAGCCCACTCTCCTAGGTAGGAATAGAATACCAGCCGTCCGATGCCGCTGATGCGAATAGTGGGCTCGGTCTCGAAAAAGAAGATGAACTGCCGATGCCGTTCCGTCGTTCGTCGTCTACGATGTCAAGACTGGGGAGATGTTGCGTTTACTTGAGCTTGGCCCAAAGCTTAGGGGCGGCGCACTGGGTGGCGCAGTGAGCGAGGTGGAAGACTACACCACAATGTCAGCTTTCATCAGTCCCGTAGTGAGGTTCTTTGACCGTCTGCCGTCTGCCCATCATATATATGACGGACAGATGTAGACCTCGGTGACAACTTACACTCCTCAACGCAGTCCTCCTTGGCACCCTCCTCGCTGTCGGCAGCCGCCGTGACGCGCTCGACGCACTCGTCGTAGTGGTGCTTGGCCGGTGCGCAAGCCTTGGACTCCTCGCAGTCTGTCACCCCATAATCGTCAGCAATTTGTTCCGTCAACTTCGCAATGTCACAAGTCGTGTCTGGCGGGTAGATAACGTCGGGAAGCGGGCGTTCGGTTCTTGATGGCGATGGGGGAGAGAGCTCGCAAAATTGCGCATGTGCGTGTCATCGATTGTTTCCCGCCCAGCAAACCGGATATCGCGTATCGCCATCGTAATTTGTGTCGGGGATTCCGGGTAGTAAGTAAAAAGCAAAGACGAACCTTTCTCGAGCTGCTCCTTGGGGTCGACGGTCTCCTCCTCATCCTCCTCTTCCTCTTCTTCCTCCTCCTCTTCCTCTGCCTCCTCCTCCTCAGCCTCGGGCTCCTCCTTGGACTCCTCCTCGGCGTTCTCCTCCTCCTATAGAAAGGAACATTAGTCAACGGCTCAGGTTTGTCGGAGAATGCAGAGCGAATGCAAGCGAGAGTCGTGACGAGAGGGAGAGCATGCACCAACCCTCGCCCGTCCTCAGGTCAATGCCCTGCAACAAATTGCGCGCAAAGGGAAAAAAAAAAAAGCTTCGCTCACCTTCTCCTCGGCGGCAGGAGCCTCGGCCTCGACGGTGGCCCACGGCATGGCGGCCTCAGCGAGGTCCGTGATGGTATCCCAGAAACCCATTGTGGCGGAGGTGCGTGCTGCTCTCGAATTGGCTTGACGTGATGTCGTGGATAGTGGTTGATTGGGGGTGGGAAGTCGGGAGCTTTCGGCAGAACGTCGAGGGAACGAAAACTGGGTGTTCTGAATCGGTCGTAAGTTATTCCCAATTGGCCCGTTTTCATTGGCTGCGGTGGAAAGGCTGGGTGACTAAGCGTCATCGACCGCGGGAACCGCCAACGTGACCGTGGTCCGGAGCGCCAAGGATCTGCCGTTCCGGTACTGCTACCTCCTGTACCTTCATACCGGTACCTACTTACTACCTGCCCACCTTGCCTTACCTCACGCCTTTTGAGACCGGCTCAAAGCTCCAAAGCCACCGCTTCGTCACAATCACATGGAAAAGCGAGCAGAAAGATCAGGCAGAAGAGAGTTACGGGGGAAGAAAAGTTACTTGCATGGTTGCGTCAAGCTTCCCAGCGTTAAATTCAACCATCATGTTTACTGAGGTGGCAGCCACTCATCACGCACAAGGTCTTGTCCATCTATACCTTGTGACCCGGCTCGCGCACAGCACACTTGTTGCCCCCATATCTTGTTCCTGGGGGCATGCATCCCATTCCTCATCCTCGTCCTCGTCCTCCTCATCAAGACGTGCTCATCATTCTCTACACTTCAAGTTCGTTAAGGAACGCAGGATCCGCCAGCCGCTAGTGTAGATGCTATAAAAAGTTACAGGTGTAGGGAGTGAAATGAAATGCAGGGAGGTATCGATGCAAAAAGCGTTAGTCATGAGCCCGTGATGAATCAAACCCCCCGCTATGCTCTGTCAGCCTCTTCGCGAACGTGATCCTCAAGTCGCATGCTGAGCGTCTGTGCTTGCGCCTCGTCATAATCCGGTGGGGGTTCATCCGGGCGCCGGTTTGCATTCTGACCCCCCGAACTTGCCGGCCGGCCTGCCGGCTGTTCCTGCTGCTGCGGCGGCGCCAGGTTACTCGGAGCAGCTCCGCCGCCCTCGGTTGCTTCGTAGGCTGGCAGCGGCTCGTCCGGAATATTGACCGTCTGCCCCGTTTCCTGTTGCAGACGCCTCACATGCTCGAGACGTTCCTTGAGCTCTTCGAACCTTTGCCGGAACTCGCTGTGGCCGCCCTCCTTGAAGCTCATTTTCACCTCGACCCGTGGTATGTCGGCAGGCACGCCGCCTCCAGAAACGGGCACGACGGTGGCGGACCAGAACCAGGCGCCAAAGAACGGCGAGCCAACGTACGAGTCGGCGCAGTTCAAGATTGGCGCATGGAACGACTTGAACTCGGCGGTGGGTTTTGCAGGAATGTAAATGACCTGGAGCAGGGTGATCAGCTTCGCCCTCCGGCGCCACGTCTTGGGATAAGTCATGCAGTGCGTACCCGCTGTGTTGTGATGTATGCCGTGCCATTGTCGCTCTTGCGCGCAAAGGGCGTCCTTCCTTGCTGTAAGGCCTTGGGTACCGACAGCTCGAGGCTTACTTTGGCATTGGATCTATGTCTGATGTGTTCGTGAGGAAGAGGGTTGATATCACCCGTCTGAGTGATCATGACCCAACTATCACCATGGTCAGAATCTAGGCGGGCCTGTGCGAGCTGTCGTTCTCTCTGGACGGTGCGGGCAATGGTAAGGGCATGCTGCTCTTGCAGATACTGATCCGTCATGGTGGACGGTAAGTGTGGGGTGGTATATAGCCGAGAAGAGAGAAAGAGAGAGAAGGAGAGAGGAGGTTGACGGTCGAGGTTGACAGCGGGGTTACCACGGACACTGACCGGGATGGCTCCGTGGTGCTGGGGCTCGGGGCGGCGAGGGATGACGGGAAGATGAAGGGGAAACAGAGGCAGAGCATAAGAGGAAAAGGGAACATGGAGGGACGTACTTTATTGACATTTTGAACGAAACGGCGAGCAGCTGCAGCGCAGAGCTTCCCAGTTCGTCTCAGCGAGTTGAGGGTTGCGTGGGAGTGGGCGTGGTCGGTAGCGGCAGGGCTTGCAGAGAAGCTTCGGAGATCTGGATTGTGGTGGGGTGGATCCTGGTACAGGCACAGGCACAGGGGAGGTACTTTGTGGGAAGGGGAAAAGGGCGTCGCGTTCTGGGCAGCGGCGAGGGCGGCGTCGGCATCGGCGTCGGCGGGTGTCGAGAATTTGTGAGGTGAGGTGAGGTAAGGTGAGGAGAGGTGTTGCTGCTGTTGGGTTTGCTGGTGCTGGTGCTGGTGCTGGTGCTGGTGCTGCGGCTGCGGCTGCGGCTGCTGTTTGATACACCTCACGTCGAGGCGGCGGCCGGCAAGGAGGAGGGCGAAGAGTGAGTGAGTGAGTGAGTTAGTGAGTGAAAGAGGCGCACCGGAGGGGTGGGAAAGGAAGCAGAGAGGCTGATAGCGTCAGTCAGGTATTAGCTAGGCGGATAAGAAGAGTAAGGCAAGGCACAGGGCAAAGTCAGGTAAGGTATGGTAAGGTATATGGGAGTGGACAGGGTATTCTCGGAAAGGGTGGAGGAATTAAGGTACCCTACCTTGTTGCTACTTTGCTACCTTAGAGCCTAGAGCGAGGCAAGGCGCGGCAAGGCCAGGCAAATATATGTCGTAGTCTCTGTACTTTGTAGAGGGCAAAGAGGGCAAACGAATCAAGGGAAGGGAGCGTGCCAGACACGGCTCAACCAAATCAGAGAGAGAGGAGAAGGCCAAGTTGCGGCAACTACTCTGGCTAGTCCGACGACGGTGGCTGGGGAAGTTCGGATGCGTAGGTAGTCGAGGTGGGGGAGGGGTTCTGTGACAAGACAAGCAATGGTGTGATGAGACGGGATGGGATGAGAAGGCCAGAGGAGGAGTAGGAGTATGGATCGGATAGCTAAGGTATGAGGAGAAGGAGGAAGAGGAGGAGGAGGAGAAGGAGGATTCTCTCATCAACCTGAGGTGAGATGGGTGTGTAGTGAACCGAGTAAGGTAAGTAGTGTAATGCGGGCAAGGTGGTCGACGAGACATGGTGAGGTGAAGAAAGCCCAAGTACTTCCGTACCTCTCCCGGCTCTGTGTACCCAAAAGGTACCTTAGCCAGTAAGGTAGCCAGCCGTAGCTGTTCGTACATGCTTCTTCTTCTTCGTCTTCTTCTTCGGCTTGGGGGGAGCGGGGGACCCAATGAGAGACATCGGCGCGCCGCGCAACTGGATGAATGTGTGTCCACAAAGGTGAGAGCGCCAATAGGCTTAATACTCAAGTGTGTGTGTGTGTGAGTGAGAGTATGCGAGTATCGATTGGATCCAAGCCCCCCCCCCCCCTCCAGGTGTCTCCAAAAAGTCTCCAACTGACTCCAGGCCGTTGTGTGTTGCGTCCTGCGTCTTTGCGGGTTCCCAGGACTCTCTCTCTGTATCCCCAACTCCCTTTCTTTGCTGCTAGTTCACGCAAGTCGTCCAACGTCTGTCGAGTCGCCGCGTCTTGTTTGGTCTACAGCCCACTAGTCGCTGCTGCTGGGTTCCATTTGTTTGCTTCTGATATCCGCGCAGGAGAGAACTATGGCTACCTTACCTTAGCGTGCAAGGTACACAGTACACAGCTTGCTTCTTTCTTACTTGCTTGCTTGCTTCCGCTCCTCACTGCTCCTGCGTGAAGAACGATGGGGTCTCGACCGGAGTAAGGTAGTCCTATGAATCGTTTTTCCTGCCCTTGATTCTCCTCCTTTCCTTCTTCTCCTCCCCCTTCAGTCTAGGTAAAGTACTCATCCACCAGTCGTCGAGAGGTTTGTAGGTTGCAGGTGTGGATGAGGTGCCAGCGACATGGACCCTCTGGGTCAGAACTGCTGCAGCCCAGAACAAGACTCTGGACGAATCAGCTCAGCGCTTGGCCAGGGTTGGCTGGGTCGGTCCTTTGCGACCACACTGCAGGCATGGATAATGGGGGGAACTCTGTGCGCCGCGCAGTAGCAGGCGCATTGGATCACGCAGACTCGCAGTAGCAGCAGGCCTGGGGACCCGTCTGCTCAATGCAAATTTGTGAGATTGCGGAGCTTGAAGCGACGTCGTCCTGCAGTTGGCCCAATCGACTGACCCTGGGGTCTGTACTTGATCTGATCCGTCCGAGGTTTACCTGCCAGCCGGCGCAAAAGTGGGAATGGTGTACAAGTTGCCCCCTACCTCTGCCTGGGGAGCCATGTTGTGGTAAGTCTTGACTAAGGTATGGACCGACCGACGGGCGACACACCCAAGGATAAGGTCGACGACGGTCGACCGAGATAGCAAGCGGCTGCGGCTTCTGGCATCTGCTGCTGCTGCTGCTGGCTTTCCCGTCTGCCCTGCGTTGCGCCGCCGGGCTGCTACCGGCACGCTATGTAGGAGTAGGCGCGAATAGAATAACAAAGTAGCAGTCATTAACCTTGGAGATCTCTCTCCAAGAGGGACGGATGACCAGGTCTGGGACCAGATTGCCAGGAAGAGTGCAGACTAGGGATCTCGGGATGGACGCGCCGATCCTTTCGCACCCAACTCGAGCCAGGAACCCTCGTCTTGAAACAAAGCCTCCATGAAGCTCTCCCGTCTGGATTGGCTCGGTGAGCGACTTTCACCTTGTGACGGCAACGACAATCCCTCGAGCCATGATGCCAAGGTCACCATATCCAGCTCGACTGCTCGGGTTTCCCAGAAAGGCAGTGAACCATGATTATGAATCCAAGCAGGGCACGCCCGTGTCTTGGTGCCTGAAGATGACTCCGATGAGTCCGAGAACGATCTCATTCGTACCTAATCGCCCTGTCTGCCTGTACGACTTTGGCCATGGTCGTGGCATGCCTGTCTGGCTCTGGACGGTCGATATCAGTCATGGGACATTGTGAACCCTGAATCCTTCCACCACGGACACCCCAAGGCCCAAGCCGACGCAACGCGCGGCGCGGTATATGTCTCACGCAAAAGACCAGACGAACAGATGTCAGTTGTTTTGCATGTTTTGCATGTTTTGGAAAAAGAAAAGAAGGTGTCTCCCCCCGAGTCAAGCGGAATGACTCGAAATGGCTGCTAGCTATCAGCTCGTGCCGCAGACATACGCAGTTGAAAAAGAGAGACGGGGATGATCAGAATGGGGAGCTTGAATTGAGACTTTTGGACTCGGGAGGGAGACTTTGTGGAAACCATCCAGTGTTTTCCCGTTCCCGTTCCCCGTCAGGACCAGTACCATCCATGATCTTCAGCGGCCCGGGACTTGCCATGACATCGGGGCCGTCGAGCATGCGGTCGTTGGGCTTTGTCCACCCACGTCCCACAGGTCAACCGACCTAGTGCCAGAGGGAGACCCAGCCAGAAACAACTTTGCAAAAGCAGCGCCAGTGGCGGGCTCACATTCATCGTCAAGGACAAAGTACTGTGGTAGCGACTGCAGCGTGGTCGGCCACATGCCTGCGCGGTACCCAGACGATACTCGGTACCCTTGATCATTGTCCTGCTTGGAACCCGGTAATAAACGGAGATCTCTGGCGGGGAGTTCTGGAGTAGGAGGATAAGACCAGGGGTCTAGCGGCGTGGCGGTCGTGGAAAACTCATGTGCTTGACAAGCAGAAGCCAGACGGATAGTGAGGTGGACAGACCCTAGGCTCGTTGGCGATGGATGGCCAGTGACGAGCGCTCCGTGTCATGTCGTTAGAGTCGTCGCCGTCTCGGTATCTCCCTCTTGAGCCGGCGATTGGCCCCGGTGAGTGAGGGGTATAGCTACTATAGCCCAGATTTGGGGCCAGTGTAGCATTGCCAATGATTTGAGAGGTTGTTGAAGGGGACGCAAAGTATACGGGGCATATAGGCCAGCGTTTAGCACACAGGCATTGTTGTTGGTGGAAAAGTAGACGGGTCGAAAAGAGTTACGATCACTGCAGGATCGCATCACACTTCCCGAAGCTCGCGAGTTTGCCTCTGGATATCGTGGGAAACTAAGGTGAAGTAAGGTAGGTAGGTATTCTGAGGTAAGGTGGGTGGATGGATGGGTACCTTAGTACCTCATGGTGATGTGTTGGAGACACGAATGACAAGAATGCAATCGTAGAAGGAACCCCCCAGCTCGGAATCCTCTCCTGCCATGCAAACCTTGAAACTCTTGCTCCGATGCTTCATGCTCCTTCTCTTCATGAATTCCATTCCATGCCTTCCCTCGTCACCTTAAGGTACCTTACATTACCTTGGAACCTTCCAGGCAACGTTTATCGCCACGTGAAGTTGTGATAAGGTAAGGGAGGAAGCATTGTTGTTCTTGCTCTCTCGGTGTAAGGCAAGGTACCTAGGTAAGGTACCCCAAGGTAGCGACGTTGACCATTGGTCGGGAGTGCGAGGCGCTGCTTCCCAATTGGAGCTTGAGACTCCGTCGTCTTGTCGCACTCGCTGGTTCCTTCCGAGTCTAGATCCCTTCCTACCTTACCTTACCTCACCTTGCAGCTTACCATTACCCCGAACCTCACCTTGCTTACACCGGATTTACTTCAAGGTCAGGTAATTACTAACAAGAAACTTAGATACTTCTCTGTACGCAATATCTACCTACCTACCTAAGTTACCTGCTTGACCTTACTCGTGGCTGGACTCGGCAACACGGCGATACCAGACAGGCAACGTATTCCTCCCGACGCAACGAACATCCTTCTCTCCTTTCGGCCGCAGAGAAGCACGCCGCCCACGTCTGCCTCCACCACAATTCAAGATTC